GCTCGCTAAGAGCACTTGCCCCCATCAGTCTAACATAGCTATACGGGGGATCTTTGTCTCGTGTGTTTGGCGTGCGGGGAGCGGTGGCGCAGCGGTTAACTCAGACCTCTGCACTCCAAACGACCAGCGACCCGAGTTCAATTCCTGCTTGCAGCCGACACCGTTCGCGAATATCTGAACCCGTTCTGGGCCCTCCCTAGGTTAGCTCAGCCTAAAATGAGCCCCCTGGTGTGGTGTGAAAACATCGCCACTGGGGAGACAAAGGCGGCCGGTGTGGTGTTGGCCACCCATCCCCTCGTGTGCCGTGCCGGTCTTTAAAGGTGCTCGCTAACAGCTCTTGCCCCAACAGCCTGTGTAGGCTATACAGGAGGGATCTTTGTCTTTGTGTATTTGTGTTGTACGTTGGTTGTGTTTTCTCCGCGGGTTGTGGCACGGTGTTGCAATCTGCCTGTCGTCTCAGTCGATCAACCCTATAACACCTGGGAGGACCTGTCCCGTGATCTCGTGCCAGCAGCGAGCCTTCCACACTTCAGGTGAAGGCCTCCAAGGTGCACCTAGCCTGGCACAAGCTCCGTGCCGTAGTGACGACTCAGTCAATAGTGTATGGCACTTGCTGTTTGTTGTTGGTGCGCGTGAGAGACCAGGCCAGAACGGTAGAGAGATGTTGACTACCTCACCTGGTGTACAGGAGGTCGTGGGTTCGATCCCGACCCTGACGCCTGCTGTATATTTGGAGTTTGCATCTCTCTCTCTTATCATCATCATCACGGTGGCTAGGAAATGTTAACTACCTCATCTGGTGTACAGGAGGTCGTGGGTTCGATCCCGACCCTGACGCCTGCTGCTGTATATTTGGAGTTTGCGTGTCTCTCCTCCCCGTGATTGCGTGGATTTTTCTCTGGGCCCTCCGGTTTTTCCCTCCACATTCAGCATCAACATCACGCATTTAGTGTATTTGGCTGCTTATACATTTCTACGTGATGATGATGATGATAAGCCACTTCGTTCAGCTATCATTTGTGATAGCCAGGTCCACTTGTAGGAAAGAGCTACGTAGCGCAGTGGGGCCTTACCTGGTCAAAGAAAAAATAGTTTAGTTTTTTTTAGTCGTTGACACCCCGGGCACGAGTTTGGGAGTATATATACTCTTAGTTCTTTCGGTAAAGTCACGTAGGTAAAAAATGAAATTAAAATTAATAAAAATAAAACAATAAAATCACGACGTTTCGGAGGCAACACAAGTCTCCGTCATCAGGTGGGACCGTCACAGCCAGATTTGCTGCATCAAGTGAGGGAGGGATTCAAGATGCAAGCCCTTAAATACAAGTTAAGGGGGGAGGGGCTTATCAGAATGTGGAACGTATCGGGAGGGGGGGGGGCTAAAAGAGGGCACGGGGTACTCGTTGGGCGTGGGAGTTTGGGAGTGCGTCTCACTATCGGGAGCGACTTTTAAATCCGAAAATTACGGTAATGCGCGCCAGCACGCCGTGAACGCGCGCGAACACCAGTGTGTGGGCAACGTTTTACACTCTTCACGTCGATCGTATCGAGCCGTCTTTGGCTGCCACCGCTAATGGGCAATGCATCGTTTTACAACAGTCATGCATTGACAGTCTCAGGGTGTGTGTGTGTGTGTGCAGTACTTATAAGTAACTGCGTGACAGAAGTTGTGTAATTGCAGTATAAGTAAGTGCGTTTACGTACAAGTAACTCGTATACTTTATAGATCCCTTGCGGCAACAGTCCACTGTGGGATGAGGGCCTGACCCACGGATGAGGGCCTGACCCACGGCGTGCGGTTGCCTGATGGTGGGAGGGTGGCCGTCACATTGACCATACTTCACCGCGCCGGTCAGTGCCAGTAGGTTGGAGGTGGCTGTAATGAGTGCTGGCAATGTAGCGACGTCGGGAACAGGGGGGGGAGGGGGGCGTCGTCTTTTGGGCAAGAAAAAATGGGTTGTCCAGCAGTGGATAGAGAATGGTTTTAACAACCTCACGTGTACGGCCACTTAATGGCATTTCCGTTCTTTTGCATCATTGTATCAGGCCTCCCCCTCCCCCCTCTCTGTCCAATGCGTTGGCGTGTGCAGCAGTTTGTCTCTTGCGCACAATCGCTTCCACGCCGTCGCCCACCCTTTTGGCCCCGCCCCCCTCCCTCCCGATACGTTCCATTCATTGGCTACCACATTCTGATGAGCTCCTCCCCCCTCTCCTCCCCCCCCCCAACTCGCTTTTAAGGGATTACATCTTGAATCATTGCCTCACTTGATGCAGCTAATCTGGCTGTGACGGTCCCACCTGATGACGGAGACTTGTGTTGCCTCCGAAACGTCGTGATTTTTATTTTATTTAATTTTTATTAATTTTGATGTTTTACCTACACGGTGACTTTACCGAAAACACCTCAGAATACTTAATATCACGTCGTCTAATCGCGCACTTCTCGAACAAGGTTGTGGCGTCGACTTCGCCACGCACATCGGATGAGCGCGGTTTTGTCTCCGTGTTACGGTGCGAAAGAGATCCACCGCACTGCAGTAGGACCTCGGGCTTGCACGCACGCACGCAGCCCAGTGAGCAGCCGGGCTCTGCGCAATGTTTATTGTGGTTTATTACACAGTAGGTCGCCGTGGTGATTGGTGTGGGTAGTGGGGCGGTGGTGGTTGGTAGATCTATGCCCGGTCCTTAAAGCGAGCAATAACATTAAACAGTCGCCTTTGGGTTACTGATAAATATCCTGACAAATGGTGGTGCCGTAACGCCAAGGCTTAGGGCATTAATAACGAGATGCGCAACTCGCCTCTCCGTCTGGAAGGAGGAGCTCGGTGCGGCTCCCTGTGGTGGGTCCACCACGTGTCATCCCAGGTCACGACAGTATTTCCTCCCTCCACAACCCCCGCACCCCCACCCTCAAGCCTGCACGTGCCATCGATGTTTCATCGAGCAGACGAAATAGTTTTCGCGACGGAAAGAAAGAAAAGAAGCCGCCGATTCAACGAAGGGACAATTCACACGGAGTAATTGGTCGGAGCGGGGTGCCAAACGAAACGTCTAGCATTAATGGGTCGATTCATTGTAAAACGGTAATTTATGATAGGATAAATACATATGGGGTGAGCACGGCGGCGCAGTGGTGACACGTGCCTCGCAGCAAGAAAGGACCTGGGTTCGACTCCTGTTTGAGGTGCCCTGTGTGGAGTGTGTTTTGTTCTCCCCCCTGGTCTGCATGGATTACCTCCTGTTCACCCCCCCCCCCCCGTGCCACCCACAACCACAGCGGCTAAAACAAATGTACTGCATTGGCCGTGATCATCTCAATGCTAAAAAAAAATTGCCTGCAAGCATGATCTCAATTGGGTTTACACAGAGGCAGCAACATTGCCTCTTACTGACACCAAAAAATCACTTGGCAGGAGCCTCTTGAAAAGAGAGACTTGGGTGAATGTTCCTTTGGGCGCTGCGGTGGTGAGATGTTATCTCCCTCTAGTCTGATCTAGAGGAAGAGGTGGGTTCCATCCCGACCCTGACGCCTGCTGTATATTCGGAGTTCGCGTGTCTCTCTCTCCCAGTGGACGCGTGGATTATTTTTTTCTCCGGATCCTCCTGTTTTTCGCTCCACATTTACCATCAACAATCACGCGTTGAGAGAATTTGGCTGACACTTGACGTTTCCACGTGACGAGTCATTTCGTTGAGCTATCATTCGTGATAGCCAGGTCGCTTATAAAAGAGAACTACAGTAGCTTAGTTGGCCTTACCTGGTTAAATAAAGCCTGGCAACCCGGTTATAAACGTAGCAGCCTGGCTCAGTGCAGCTACGCCACCTGCAACCGAGTATTTTACTTCTCGGCAGCTATCTTCAGATCTGTCGCAGGTGAATTGGAGATCGCCTGCTCGACTGCTCGCTCGCTCGCTCGCTCACTCGCTCGCTGGCGTCACGCTCTCTCTCTCTCGTTGCCGCCTCCGTGATGAAGACGAATGTGCCTGGGCAGCTCGCTGAGAGATCCCTTGAACTGAGAGATCCTTTAACTCGGGCCGAGAGGTCCTTGATCAGAGTCCGGATGACTTCCTGAATCCCACCGCACCCCCCTCCCGTCTCGAGATGATTTCGGTTTAGACTGGAGTTTATTTGCGTCTGTCTTGTTCGCATTATCAGGTTTGTTTTTTAACTGTGTGTTTTCTTTTGGTGCACGCTTGCACACCTGTTTGTGTGTTTCAGAGATTAACGTAATTGTATTGTTCGCAATATTATTTGTATTGCGATATACACGTGTTTGCATTGTATTTGCATATAGTGAAAAAAGGGTTAGCTGGAAATTCCAGCCACTCACTTCACACCTCACCCCTCCCCTCCCCCAAAACAGAATCAGAATCTTTATTTATCCTGCGGAAAATCCGATGAGCTATGAAGCTCTTTTCCACAGATATCCAGTAAGGGTGGGTCAGAACGTTACATCGACAAACAGTGCAAAAACATGATAGGAAAGTAAATCGCAAAACATGAGTTCAAAATGCGTGAATACATCAATTCGGCACAATACAGGGTCAACACAATAATTTATAATTTTAAATATATATATTTTTTAATATTTGGCACAGTGGCCTTTCATTTCTGCGGGGATTCAAATGAGCCCGCTGCAACGTACGTATCCAAATCGGGGGAAATAAACCGTGGGGTCGTGCCAGCCCGAGTTGGTGCCCGTCATGAGGTTGAGATTAAATATCATCGAGTGGCAGGTTGTCGCCTGCCATGGCCACCTGGATGTGACACTGTAGCTGTTGCTCGGCACCTACAACAGCAGCGGCAGCAGCAGCGGCAGCAGCAGCGGCAGCAGCAGCGGCAGCAGCAGCGGCAGCCGTATGAAAGAAAGAAGAAAGTGGCGTAGTTCCAGTCACATCTGGGTCAGCAACCCGGAAAATATTTGAGGAACGGGGCACACTGCATCCAGTGGAGCCCTGACGATGCCGATGTCAATAATCCTGATTTGTGTCTCGTTCAGTGGCGGAGCAGCTGCAGCAGCAGGAGGAGGAAGAGAAGAAAAAGAAGAGAGGACCCGGTCCTCTCGCGCCGTCTGCCGGGGTCAGGAGGTCATCAGCAATGGCCACGCGGGGCGCCCTCTTGGGCCAGCAGCAGGTGAGAGCTCGCTCGCTCGCTCGCTCGCCACGAACCAACGCCGGAACGTGGTCCCCCTCCTCCTCCTCCTCCGCCGGTTAGCCGTGCATGCGCGGCCATCCGGTTCGTCCTATCCGTGACTGGATGGGTGGCCGCTCCACGCGCCGGGCGGCTCTTGGCAGTCGCTTGACCGTACTTCACCGCTTTGGCCTTCAGTGAGGGCCGGCTGAGGGCGGGAGTGGTTGAAGCACAGCGGGTTTCAACCCCCGCCCCCCTCCTCCCCCCCTCCACCCTCACGAGTGGGATCTTTCAGGCGGCGCAGGCTTGCGGCGTGGAAACCGTGCAGCGGTAACTTTTTTATTGTGCACGGGGAACGACGAAACACACATGGCGCGCAACATGGAACACCACGCGCCTTACTAAGCATTCCGTATGTTAAATCTCACCCTTTCAAAACTCTTACTTGGCAAGGGCGTGCGTGGCCCTGAATGGAACGCGGGTCGATGTGTGTTCACAGCTTCATGTTTTGGGCCTTTGGAACCGTGATCCACAGCTGCCGTGATAGATATTTACTTGGAATAGCGTGCAGCTCGGCACCAAGCACCTGCTCGTCGTCTCAAGTGTCCTCCCGCAGCTTGTGACCGTCGTTCTGAAGACATATTTGGTGGCTGCCACGTTGTCGTGACGCGGAGCGACATTTTGCGAGCGACATCGCGAGCCAGGCAAGGTTCTTGAGCTTGGGAGCGCACGCAACCGGTTCAGATATCGGCCACGGATGTCGGTCGTGAGCTCACCACTCCTGAGACAAAGATGCCACGTCTGATTCTAGATTTGAAGCTTTCGTGACTGCAAGGATTCATCCTCTTAGGTTTTTTCGGTAAAGTCACGTAGGTAAAAAATAAATAATAGAAATAAAAAAATAAATCACGACGTTTCGGAGGCAACACAAGTCGTCATCAGGTGGGACCGTCACAGATAAATCCTCACTTGATACAGTAAATCTGGCTGTGACGGTCCCACCTAATGACGGAGACTTGTGTTGCCTCCGAAACGTCGTGATTAATTATTTTATTTCTATTATTATCTCTTTTTATTATTATTTTTTTACCTACGTGACTTTTAATCTTCTTGGTTCTTTCGGTAAAGTCACGTAGAAGGGATTTAATAAAATAATACAAATGAAATATAATAAAATAATTCTCACGACGTTTCGGCCACAACCGCAAGCAGCCGTCCTCAGAAAGACCGTCTTTCCGACAGACCTGTTCTTCACCTGAGGACGGTTGCTTGCGTTGTGGCCGAAACGTCGTGAGATTTATTCTATTGTTTTATTTTATTATTTTATTATTTCCCTTCTACGTGACTTTACCGAAAGAACCAAGAAGATTAATCCCTGCAGTCACGAAAGCTTTAAATCGAAATTCTACGTGACTTTACCTAAAAAAACCTAAGAGTATGCCACGTCTGCTTTGCCTTCAACAGACTGGGCACACGCGCTCCGATAACACTCATGATCTGACACGCATCATAACAATAACACAGACGCGATGTGCAGGGCGCGCATCTGTCGCGAAGTCGGATGTTACTATTCCTCGGAGACGGGAAAGGATAAACCAAATGGTGTGCGTGGCTAGGAGATGTTAACTACCTCGCCTGGTATACAGGAGGTCGTGGGTTCAATCCCAACCCTGACGCCTGCTGCTGTACATTTGGAGTTTGCGTCTCTCTCTCTCATCATCATCACGGTGGCTATGAGATGTTAACTACCTCGCCTGGTATACAGGAGGTCGTGGGTTCAATCTCGACCCTGACGCCTGCTGCTGTGTATTTGGAGTTTGCGTCTCTCTCTCATCATCATCATCACGGTGGCTATGAGATGTTAACTACCTCGCCTGGTATACAGGAGGTCATGGGTTCAATCCCGACCCTGACGCCTGCTGTATATTTGGAGTTTGCGTTTCTCTCTCATCATCGTCACGGTGGCTATGAGATGTTAACTACCTCGCCTGGTATACAGGAGGTCGTGGGTTCGATCCCGACCCTGACGTCTGCTGTATATTTGGAGTTTGCGTCTCTCTCTCTCATCATCATCACGGTGGCTAGGAGATGTTAACTCCCTCCCCTGGTATACAGGAGGTCGTGGGTTCAATCCCGACCCTGACGCCTGCTGTATATTTTGAGTTTTTCATTTTCTCTCTCCCTGTGGTCGCGTGGATTTTTCTCCGACTTGTCCCCTCCACGTTCAGAATCAACAAGCGTTTTGCACTCTGTCTGCTACACATTTCCGCTTCGTTGGGCTATCGTTCATGAAAGCCAGGTCGCTTCTGAAAAATAGCTGCGTTGCTCGGTGAGCCTTAGGGGCCGTCCATAAATGACGTCACGCGATTTTGGACGATTTTTGACCCCCCCCCACCTCGTCACACGGCGTCACAAAAAGTCAGACCACCCTCCTCAAATATGACGTCACAAAGCTCTGCCCCCCACCCCAAAAATAAATAAAACATGCTTCAAATCGCTTTAAACTATTGTCATTGTAGTGCGTATTTAATGTGGCGCTACACTCTGATGTTGTAGGAGAAAACATTTATTTAAAAGTCGATTTAATTAAGTAGAACGTGTTGTCTATATTTATTTAAAGTTGCGCATTTTGATGTGACGTCACATTTTTCACCCCCCCCCCCCCCGTCACACATCGTCACAAATGTCTGACCCCCCCTAGGTGCGTGACGTCATTTATGGACGGCCCCTTACCTAGTAAAGTAAAATAAAAGTTTTTTTTTTCCTGCAGTGCCCGATGAAGCCTCGTCTGTAGACGGCGCGTCCGTGCGAGGTGCGGTGTGTAAACATCGCGACGAGAGAGACAAAGGCGGCCGGGCGTGCCCCTTCATTTCCCACGGGGGAGGGGGGGGACTGCCTCCACGCAGCCGAGTTGGCAACAAGGGGGGGGGTGGAGGGGGGTGAGGGAGAATGACAGAGACTCACTCGGCAGGATTTCCACGCGGGCAAAGTCCACGTGCTCACGTGAGCGACCACAAATATTTTGAGAGGAAAAAAAACCAGCAAGTCATTTGCATCTTCAAGGCAAGAAGGGGGGTGGGTGGGGGACCTCACGTGGAGTTTTGTGGAGTAGGAGTGGTCCCAGGCATTTCCCCCACTCCTGTGGGGGAAATGCGTCTTGTTGTTTTGTTATGGAGACAAAGGCGGCCGGGCATGGTGCTGGCCACCCACTCACCCCGTGCCGGCCTTCATAGGTGCTGCTACAACTGGCCCACAGTCTCTGTTAGAGGCGACACTGGAGTGATCTGGTAGGAACGTTGGGTTGCTCGGTCAATGGCCAGGGTCAACGGCGGCGTGGTGTATTCCGCAAATATGGCCGACTGTGAGGGCGGGCACAAGCCGGCGTGAGTAGGTTAAACGTTGAGTTTTATAAGGGCACCACGGGGTGACCAGCCCCTCCCCACCCAACCCCTCCCCTCCCAGCCTCTCCCACCCTCCCCACCCTCCCCACCCAGCGCCTCCCCACCCAGCCCCTCCCCACCCTCCCCTCTCCATCCAGCCCCACCCCTCCCATGTTTGGATGCACGACGGACGGACACAATAATCCCCTGTGGGCTGGTGTAACCAGAAGGTTCCTACCGGTATTATTTATTTTCTCAATGTAAACGGAGGGTAGGGGGGTGGTGGTGGTGGCGGTGGTGTAGACATCGCTGCAAAGAACTCGCCGAGCGGGTTTTAGTAGACCCCGCGAACGCCACCTCCCCCTCCCCGGGTCCTGAGCGCCACCCAAGTCACTCGGCAGCCAGGTTCGCACGCAGCCACCTCCACGGCGCCCACCGCTCTCCACCCTCTCCCAGCGAGAGTCTCTCCCAACGCGTGCCCCCCCCCCCCCCGCGACTCTCCTCGGAGAGGCCCCCCCAAGACTCGCACATCCAGATGAGTCGCGAACTCTCCGCCGACGCCGCTCGCTAAAGGAGGGGGGAGCCGCCCCACCTCCTCCTCCCCCCACCTCCTCTGCTCGTCGCGCCGTTCATAGCGAGGTACGAGCGAACGCTGCCAACGAGGCCGGGTGTCTGGGTCGGTGGGTGAGCGCAGTGGGGACATTGCATCGGTGCCACGTACGCACGGACACCGACCCGCTTGCGGACTCGCGGAAGACCCAGTCTGTGAGTGTGTGGTGAGTGAGTGTGCGTGCGTGAGCGTGAGTGAGTGTGCGTGAGTGTGAGCGTGTGTGAGTGTGTGAGTGAGTGTGCGTGAGTGTGAGCGTGTGTGAGTGTGAACGTGCATGAGTGTGTGTGAGTGTCAGAGTGTTGGTGGGTGTGTGAGTGTGAGCGTGCGTGAGTGTGAGCGTGTGTGAGTGTGAACGTGCATGAGTGTGTGTGTCAGAGTGTGTGTGGGTGTGTGAGTGTGAGCGTGCGTGAGTGTGAGTGAGTGAGTGTGCGTGAGTGTGAGTGAGTGTGAGCGTGTGCGAGTGTGCGTGAGTGTCAGAGTGTGTATGAGTGTGAGTGTGCATGAGTGTGCGTGAGTAAGTGTGAGCGTGAGTGAGTGTGAGAGTGTGTGTGAGTGTGTGCGGGTTGCGTGTGCAGACAGTGGTAGTGTAGCTGTTAGCGCGCTGCGCTACGAACCCGACCACGCGGGTTCCATTGCCGCTCACGGCCAACACCAGTGAGTGCCTTCCCCTAGGTTGACTCGGCTTCAAATGAGTACCTGGTGTGGTGTGTAAACATCGTCACTGGGGAGACAAAGGCGTCCGGGCGTGGTGCTGGCGACCCACAACCTCGTGTGCTGTGCCGGCCTTCATAGGTGCTCGCTAACAGCACTTGCCTCAAAAGTCTGTTAAGGCTACACAGGGGATCTTTGTCTTTGTGTGAGCTGCAGATGGTAAAGGTTATTACACTGGTCAACAAAAAAAAAACTTTTTTTCTGGCCTGGACTTTTGCAGCTGTTTTAGACTAATTTCAAGGTGCTGATTCCAAATCTGATCTCAGATTTGCTCTATCACATCATTTTTATGCTATCGGCAT